TAAGTTAAATTCGGGGGTTCAATTCAATCCATTTATTAAAACAAATTATACATAAAGTAGCGAGGCGACAAATATCCGTGTATTTAACAAAGAACCAAACTTGTTGACAATAATCAGCACTGAGTTAACAACGACTCACTTAGCGAGAAAGAAAACCAACCGCTACTCGTCGATTCTGCTGAGCGGTAGCGAAAAGCAATAAAATAATTACTTAAAGAATGATGGGAAAAGGAATTGTAATGACAGGTGTGCTGTTGCTGTTCGATGTTGTGAGAGCCAGCGTTTCCGAAACTGTCCAGGCCTATTATCCTCTAGTACCCAACCAAAAAGAAAGAAAGAAAATATCCAAATTCCCAAAGACGAACTCTTCCCCGTCTTACCGAAATTACAAAAGAAAGCCCTAAATATATAGTGGTAAGTTCGACTGAAATAAACAAGCCTATGAATAAGTTTTCTTGCTTCGCTGTTCACAAAGCACTGAAAAATATTAGCTCGGATATAATTAAAATGACTGAACGGAGGACGGAAACTTACAGCAACAAAACAGCTTTTTGGAATCTGTAATGGGAAAATTGAACTGCACAAGAATCTAAACTCTTCAAAAGGCACCATTTACGCTCCCTGTTTATATGACGTCGCAAACAATGAAATCTTAGAAAATTTAAAAGAACAGGGTGTTGTGGAAATTTACAAGTTCCCCAAATTTATAAATGGTCAATCAACTCCAAGTGGAGTGGTCCTTCCAACGTTTGACCGCTACTACTTTCAGGAAAAAATTGATGTTTCGTGGAATACGACCAAGGTAAGACCGTACTACCCAAACACCATGAGGTTTAAGAACTGTCAATTCCTTGGTCATACAAAGATCGCTGCAAAAAGCCCCTTGTTTGCGAAACGTGCGCTCTTCCACCCCATAACCCCCAACCGTGTACCCGCACCCATTGCTTTAACTGCTCTGCTGACCACTCATCGTCAAGTAAATTGGGCCCAAAATTCGTCCAAATGAAGGGAAAAGTAACTATACAAATAGAAAATAAATGCTCGTTTCGCGAAGCAGTGAATATTCACAAAGCGCTAATACAACCAACTTTCAATTCTTCATTAACCTCCTTCGTTAGCATAGCTAATAATTCAACAAATAAAGAGACCGTAAATGTCGAACAAAGTATCTAAACTGAAGCACAAAATTCTCTTTCCTCTCTTCCCACATCAAATGCGTAAGTAAATTACATGAACAGCAAATCAAAAGAAAACGAAACTACCACAAAAAATACAACAAATTACGCACAGTCTCTCCCAAACGTAAATGCAGTCAATGTCTCTTTGTCAATGTCTATTGACCACGCTACAACAACGTCTATTGACTTCACAGCACTCCCACTCATTTCAAATCTGATTTCACACCTCAGCAATCCACCCGTTACCCCTTTATCTACAGACATCCAACACACAGAATAGAACATGCGAATACTTCAGTGGAATTTAGAAGGTCTATTCAACAATTAAACTGATCTCAATTTACTCATTAACCAATTTACACCGCACATTATTGCTTTACAGGAAACACACCTCCCAGCAAACAAAACAGCATACACACCTCACAAATATACTGGGGATTTTCACAATCTTCCTCAAAATAACTCAGCTAAACAAGGCATTGCCCTTTGGGTTCAAAACTCCATAAACCACAAACAAATCCCGATCTCTTCCAACATTTCCGTCATTGCCATTGAAATTGACATAGGCTTCAAGCTATCTGTAGCCACCTTTTACATCCCGCCGCATCAAAAATTTAGTGTAGGGGAACTTACGCATATTATAAATACATACTCTACACCTCCAATAATTGTAGGCGATTGCAATGCATGGAGCCCACTTTGGGGATCTCATTCCTCAAATCACAGGGGCCAGAAATTGAAGATGTTATCATGTCAAAAAATCTCGTTGTCGTCAATGACGGATCACTAACCCAATTTTCAACCCACCATTCCTTCACCCACGTAGATATTGCCCTATGTTCAGCATCCATAGCCCCTAAGCTCTCTGCCCCCACACGTTAGACGATC